AAAAGCAACTATATTCAAACAGATAAGAAGCCCCAGTGAGATAGGGGATTCATAACCAGTGGAAAATCTAGAAATCTAGGGACTGTGAGATAGACAAGGAACCCCGTTGAATTTTACTTACGTAATGACTTGTGCGTTACTATTCCAACAACTGTCACTAGTTATATACAAGTGATTTACAGTAAAATACGTTTATTACGAACACGCTTGTAACGAACTGACGGATATAACGAACTTAACTTTTGGTCCCGGCCATTTGCTGTATAGAAGAATAGAATAGAATTTTATTGTACTGAACACCCTCATAGGGCAGGGTACAGACTATCTACATATGAACATGTATATAATTATAGATATGACAGGTATATGTATATTATGTACATTTTGTATAGAGGCATTATTTCATTTACATCATATAAACATTTATGTATATTAGGTTATTGCTGGCAGCGTACACTTAATTGGATTGAATATAATAGAATTTTCTTATGGCCTCAGCTTGAACATGTGGTATATAGTCCGGGCAACAAGACTTGACCATTCTTTTGGTGGATTCATAAAGTGTTTTAAGAGGTTTGTTTTATCGGTCTGGGAAGGGTCGCCTATTTCTACCAGTGCCATCAGATTTCTCCTAAGGTCTGTATATAGTGGGCAATAAGCTGTTGTATATATAGATGTGTGTATATATATATAAATAGATGTTGTATATATGCTTCTAACGTACTACGGTTATAAGGAACTAAAATTAGTGGTCCATTTGAGTTCGTTATAACCGTAATATACTGTATATGCAAACTGAATCTGACAAAGCTCGCCACTACACCACTTCCCGCTGTTTGTTATCTCTGCAGCCATGACCTTGTACTTGTAACAACCAGACTGTAAAGTAATTACGCCCCCTACCGTTCGAAACAGTACTTCCTCCTGAACCAGCTGGTCAAAGGTTATCCCGTATGTGATCTATTGTGGGAATATCCGCTTATGGTCCTTAACAACGTTCGTTTTGTTGAAGGAAATAGCACCCCCAGTTGGCGTTATACATGTAGGAGTTTATACACCTCTTGGAGTTTACGTGACACTTAAAACATAATGTCAACCACCCTTGTTTCATCTAATGCTTCCGTCTCTTGTAACGTGACATTTGGGTTAACAGAACTATTAATGCCGTTGTAATTATATACCGAAGCCGCGTAATAACGGGGTTTCCTGGTTCGTGACTGCATATGAAAGTATGCATAGGCTTCATTGTGTAGATTATTCATAGTTCGGGATGATGTTTTTATTACACAAATTTTGACATTAATTTTTACCTCATTTGATAAAACAAGGTGGCCACAGGGTGTATTCATAACATGCCAGATAGAAAATTATATGTCTTTTGCATCGGTTATTAAAACGTTGGCCCTCGCCGAGATAACAATATTTAGGATTTCTTGTGCCAAGACATATAAAATGGCCCGCACTGTGATGTAAAAAGAGCATATTTTTTAAACGTTTTTCTTTCTGCCATCTCTTGATTGTCTGGATTTTTCACAGGCCGCGTCACAAGGCTGGTGTTATGCTGTGTGGCGTCAGATAGTTTGTCTTACAGACCTTGATAAATATATATATATATATATATATATATATATATATATATATATAAAATACAGCCAATGCAAGTCTATAATGTTTGGCAAGTCTAGATTACTGCAGTATCAGGAATGAAGAGAGTCACTGGGCTCCGTTTTATTATATTTTTATTAAGATAACTGAACAACTGTTTTTTTCTGTACGATATGTTCATTTCAGAGACTAGATGTAAGTCTAGGCGTCAGGCAACAAACAACGACGTGGGCTACCGATGTTTCACGAACACCTGTCGTCATCACTGGGTTTCAGTGATCCATTCATATAACATGTTTGATTGGCCCACATAGAAGTAGACGGATGACAAAGTAGACACAATTTATGGATAACAACTTCTTTATTAACAGTGAAGGCGACGTGTCGGTATAGGTCTTTATACCTTCTCAAACACCGAAACGTCGCCTTTACAGTAAATAAAAAAGTTATTATCCATAAATTGTGTCTACTTTGTCCATTCATATAATTGTCATCCCTAGTTACTTTTTACGCCCAGTGGAATCTGTGTCGCCGGATAACCGAGGCTGGCTATTCTTTGGCGTTGACGTTTTATAATAATTGAATTGCTATTGCTACCTATGATTATCTTGCTTTAGGGTTACCATGGTTATTTGCATGATTGGACCGCCACCGTGGTCTAGTGATAGAGCGTCCGCACGGAGCGGAAGGTCCGGGGTTCGATCTCCGGCCGCGTCATACCAAAAGACTTGTTGTTACCCTGTCTGGCGTTCGGCATTAAGGGGCTAAAACAAGGACTGGTCGGCTCGGAGTCAGTATACCGTGTCTGAGTGGGGTATTCATGTTAAACTGCGGCATGGTATCTCAGTGTGCTAGCACTATAAATCGGCACCAGTCCGGACTAGTACAAGCAGCCACACACACACACACACACACACACACACACGTGCATGCACGTCGCTATAAACCCAATTTCACCTCACCTATTTGCATGATTGAATACAATAATTAAAACCTTTTCCAACTCAAAACTCAGAAAGCCACGACGGCCATGACAAGGTCATGTCTGATATCTCTACCACACGGTTGAGAGCATGTTAACTATCGCCCATTAACCGTCACAGGAGTTGACGTGCATCACAATAGACAGTAGGAGGCATGGTTCGGGCATTGTCAACCTTAAACGAGACTCGTTACATGCAAGTGCTCACTGCTGTGTAGCTATGACAACAATTGAAAAGAGTCACATCTGGGCTCAAATTCATATTATCATAAAAGTATAAAAGCAGGCAGGTTGATGGATGTTCTAATGTTGACAAATGTTATTGAAATGTTTCTTTTGTATACGGTTTCATAGGGATTGCTGGTAAGATTAACATTCAATTTGGATTTTATCATTATAAACATTTTCGGATGTAAATAAAAAACGCCAACGCCAGATAATAAAAAACCCATTCGATTATTCAACAAAACAGATTCCATTGGGTGTATAAGGCAAATAAACGGTGAAAATTATATAAATAGATCACTGCCACACACTAACGACACCGTGTGTTGCGAAAAGGGTTCCTGCCCCTGAGAAATATCATCTACATGTGTTTGGACACAGGTGCTACCATAGAACCTTTAATGTTTGTTTGTTCGTTGTTTAACGCCGCACTCAGCAATATTCCAGCTATATGGCGGCGGAACCTTTAATGACTGTGAATGTGCTCTTCTAACAAAGCCATGTTCTAATAGCCGACATCATGGAATCCGCCAACGGGTCAGTATGGACAAATGAAAGCTTTTGAACAGAAAATGATGGCTGCCAACTAGCCACGGAGTTCTCCGCATTCCCTAGCCATGCGCCATGACTGCGCGGAATATCTCCATGTAATTTAAACAAACCCAGTCTGGATGACAGGTCGAACAAGTGATATTCCATTAGATCATATTTTTAACAGAGACATTCATAAAGTGATAAAATATTTCATAGACTAAAATATTTCATTAGTCTGCAAATTCACCAAAGGTCAAGGACAGTGACGCGCATGTGCAGGTGACGCTACCTTGGGCATCAAAACAGACGCCATGAATTGGAGCGTGAATAGCTTTCGCGGAGGTCAAGGTCAGATAGCGCAGCTTGTCTGCGATATATCAGGGAGATTACCCTTGTTGAGCTGTACTAGTGGAACATGTGGACGTGTTATCGTTAGGTCTAATCTCCAAATGCGAATACTTAACGCTCCACGTCTGGTGACAGGGCACATTTGATTCAGTCGGCATACTGGATCAGTGGAGTCGTGAAGCTGTCGGGCTCGCCATTGATTAAGGCTGGTGAATGGGTGAATTATTTAGGTCAGATTAATTAGGGGTGGGACTGAGCAGCCACGAGTGCGATAGCGCGGAGGAACAGGCTCGCCACATGCCAGCTGTACAGGTTGTTGTCTTGCTGGAGTAGAAACGTCATTGCCCAGACATATGTCTAGCAGCCTTGTATGAAGGGATTCCAACCCTTCTGTGTAATCAGAACCAAACATCCGAGGAAGGTCTGCATCAATAACCATTGACATTCGTCAAGGCTGAAAGTTTGAAATTCTTGTACTTATTTTCAAATTTCATTTAATGCTCCCTCCACCCCCACGTAAATCAGTCTCAGATGTCAGTCAAAAATGACTCCTAGATTAACGCTCTGCTCAGCACATCTCCTATGCCCCATTTCTCCCCCACCCATTCCCCGTTGAGCCTTGTGACCCCTCCCATGCACAGTGCACCCAACCGCGTCTGTCCTGTTTTCGCCATTCTCTAGAAACCTGCAAATTGCATTAAACCCCCTGCTCATTTTATGATACGACAAACTTATTGTTCAGGATTGTACAGTGTTATGCAACACGATGTAACGTAAACCATGTTCCTTTCAGCGTCGGGCATATCAAGTATCAAGCCTTGCAAGAAGGCTACCAATTTATCTCACAGCCATGACGACCATTGTACATTTTGAATTTGAAAAGTGACGCATGCGTTATGCAACGCCTACATTATGGTGTGTATGAAATTAGTTTCAATACATTGAAACTTGATCCTTGGCTCCACCGTCTGGCATTCTTGCAAGTGGTATCGCGAAATGGCGATCACTACCATACAACAAGTAAACTTATAAGCTATTATGACGTTTATCTCGATGCATTACAGAATCGATATACAAGACAAGGGAGGACATTACACCGGATCAGATGCAACATAACTGCAAATGCTTGTTACCTGTGTTATCGATCTGTGACATACAAACAGACGACATATTACTGTATCGGTGCATCGTGAATAGTGTGAATAATATGTCCGGTCCACATCGAAACCAGCTTTCCAATTAAACGCTTTATGTATAATATAGCCGACATGGCACGCATGCGAACATAACAAATGAATATACGTACGCTCTGAAGTTGTATCTTCGTCGACGAGGTTGCTCCGCTGCTCTGCTGCTTGTCCGTCCGCGACGACCACTACGTCCACGTGCCATAATGCTCCGAAAAAATTCAAAGACCCAGCTCCAGAAAACACAGATCCAATACTTTATGTCCGAGTAAGGGGGACAATGACAAAGTGTTTCCGACTTGCAAAAGCACAACACCAACGAGTACTGGTCCGATAAGTAAGCTGTGCTGGCGTGCCACAAAACAACAAGCTTCCCTACCCGGTAGTACAAGTCAACTCACCAGACTGATCGCGGTCACACTAGGATGAACGAGCGTTAGGCGTTATAGCGAGGAGGTGGCGTATTGAGTTATGGCTGGGCTGTTGTTATTATTGTTGAACTGAATATTGTTGCAGGTTTGGGCTAGTTCACTTTAATTCTTACATCTCGTTGCAAGCTGTTATATGTTAGAGTTATGATGTAGTCATAGGCGTGCACAATGACTATGGATAGCTGCATTTAGTTTAATGGAAACCAGGCTAAATGACAAACAAGGCAAATCAAGCTAGATATATTCCACAAAATCAGAACCAGACAAAGAAAATATAAAACGAGAAGAAATATTGCGTTATAAAAGATTTAACTAAAGTTATCCCTACTTTTAAAGTTTAAAGTGTCGGTATTGTTCTAGGTTGCTGTTAAAAATGTATCAAATATGAATCTTGTTTAATAGTAAATGAACAAAATTATACTTTTATTTGGCTTTGTAAATAATTGTTTATTGTACTGGATACGACAGGTAGGTTCGTGTTTGAAAGAAATGGCGCCTCCGTGTAATAATGGATAGTCTGAATAAGTAGGAACTGATCGCCGATAGATCACCTACATTCAGATCTCTACAGAAGCTTGGTCCCAGTTTCACACATAGCACGCAAGGTCAAGACCCGCAACGACAGCTCTACGTTATCAGGCTGCGGAGTTATAAACTTTACGACATTTAGCCAGTGCCACTTGGGAGCGGGGGTGGCGGGTACTGTAGTATCTAATGTTGTAGTCTCCTCTACGGATCCTGAATAAATACATCCGAAAATTCTGAAGCAAGTATACAACATTCTTCCAGCCTATACGTCTTCGGTTTCAGACTCCGAGATTCAATGTGCTCACTCAAATAAATTAAAAAACAACTTTTAAAATATTCTTATTTCAGTGACGAGATGTTTGTCTAACATGCGTTTAGGAACAAAGGTAGTCTGTCTTACAGATCCTGATTCAAATATATATCAAATACAGCCCATACAAGTCTATAATGTTTGGGAAGTCTAGATTACTGCTGAAAATGAAGAGAGTCACTGGGCTCCCTTTTATTATATTTTTATTAAGATACCTGAACAACTGTTTTTTCTGTACGATATTTTCATTTCAAAGACAAAGTCTAGAACTAAGGGTACATAGTTTTGTCGTAGATTAGATAGTGTTATCGATGTGATAAACTAGCCCCATAAACTTGCAATTAGTAGAACGATTCCAGGGGGGGGGGGGGGGGGGGGGGGGGGGGGGGGGTGTCCCGATCACTATCTCCCCTTTTTGAAAACTAAGTTCAGTATATTGTTGTAGACAGTCCAAATATCTTGAGAGAGGGTTTTGATAATTTGGAGCCCTCCCTTTCAAAGATGCCGGATCCTCCCTTGCGATCCGTTCAATGACGCAAATGAGGTCCCCGGGCAGGGACTACTTTTAAGCCACATCATATGATCTCTTGCCACATACACGGATACATTGTCTGCTTGATCAATAGATTATTTACAAAAGTTCCCGGTATGTTATGCGAGGTTTCCCGATGTGTGTGTTTCTATATATAGACAATCGCGGCTGTATATATTTTGGCACTCTATGACGATGGGGTGGTTCACTCAAACCTCACTCATTCATACGAGGTTCTATAGTTACTTCTTTGATTTCTTTGAAATACGTCTTATACATGGATTATTTGCAAAATGACATTATAATATAAAGTGATTATTACCCTCGTATGTTTCCGTATCGTGAATATCATATGTTAGAAATAAAATATTTGCATAATAAATAATTTATTCCTTACAAAATTATGATAGATATGATACAGAATCATACTCAAATATTACCTCGGTTGCTATCATCCTCCAAAATGATCATGGAACCTTCCTTCCATGCATGCCCTCAGCCGTTCAACTTATGTGATATTCTATTATATTGATGTCCGCTTTGCATACAGTATGCCAACCGATCGTATGAATTCACGGGTAGTGTATACCTATTATTCACTGATGGAAGAACGTGGTGTATTCAACCCCTGAAGTACTGATCGAGGAACGTGATGTATACAACCCCTGAAGTAGTGATGGAGGAACGTGGTGTATACATACAACCCCTGAAATAGTGATGGAAGAACGTGGTGTACACAACCCCTGAAGTATTGATGGAGGAACGTGATGTATACAACCCCTGAAGTATTGATGGAGGAACGTGGTGTATACAACCCCTGAAGTACTGATGGAGGAACGTGGTGTATACAACCCCTGAAGTATTGATGGAGGAACGTTGTGTATACAACCGCTGAAGTAGTGATGGAGGAACGTGGTGTATACAACCCCTGAAGTATTGATGGAGGAACGTTGTGTATACAACCCCTGAAGTACTGATGGAGGAACGTGGTGTATACAACCCCTGAAGTAGTGATGGAGGAACTTGGTGTATACAACCCCTGAAGTAGTGATGGAGGAACTTGGTGTATACAACCCCTGAAGTACTGATCGAGGAACGTGATGTATACAACCCCTGAAGTACTGATGGAGGAACGTGGTGTATAAAACCCCTGAAGTACTGATGGAGGAACGTGATGTATACAACCCCTGAAGTAGTGATGGAGGAACGTTGTGTATACAACCCCTGAAGTACTGATGGAGGAACGTGGTGTATACAACCCCTGAAGTACTGATGGAGGAACGTGGTGTATACAACCCCTGAAGTACTGATCGAGGAACGTGATGTATACAACCCCTGAAGTAGTGATGGAGGAACGTGATGTATACAACCCCTGAAGTAGTGATGGAGGTACGTGGTGTATACAACCCCTGAAATATTGATGGAGGAACGTGGTGTATTCAACCCCTGAAGTAGTGATGGAGGTACGTGGTGTATACAACCCCTGAAGTATTGATGGAGGAACGTGGTGTATTCAACCCCTGAAGTAGTGATGGAGGAACGTGATGTATACAACCCCTGAAGTAGTGATGGAGGAACTTGGTGTATACAACCCCTGAAGTAGTGATGGAGGAACTTGGTGTATACAATCCCTGAAGTATTGATGGAGGAACGTGGTGTATTCAACCCCTGAAGTAGTGATGGAGGAACGTGATGTATACAACCCCTGAAGTAGTGATGGAGGAACTTGGTGTATACAACCCCTGAAGTACTGATGGAGGAACGTGATGTATACAACCCCTGAAGTAGTGATGGAGGAACGTTGTGTATACAACCCCTGAAGTAGTGATGGAGGAACTTGGTGTATACAACCCCTGAAGTAGTGATGGAGGAACTTGGTGTATACAATCCCTGAAGTATTGATGGAGGAACGTGGTGTATACAACCCCTGAAGTAGTGATGGAGGAACGTGGTGTATACAACCCCTGAAGTAGTGATGGAGGTACGTGGTGTATACAACCCCTGAAGTATTGATGGAGGAACTTAGTGTATACAACCCCTGAAGTAGTGATGGAGGAACTTGGTGTATACAACCCCTGAAGTAGTGATGGAGGAACGTGGTGTATACAACCCCTGAAGTAGTGATGGAGGAACTTGGTGTATACAACCCCTGAAGTACTGATGGAGGAACTTGGTGTATACAATCCCTGAAGTTGTGATGGAGGAACTTGGTGTATACAACCCCTGAAGTAGTGATGGAGGAACTTGGTGTATACAACCCCTGAAGTAGTGATGGGGGAACGTGGTGTATACAACCCCTGAAGTAGTGATGGAGGAACTTGGTGTATACAATCCCTGAAGTAGTGATGGAGGAACGTGGTGTATACAATCCCTGAAGTATTGATGGAGGAACGTGGTGTATACAACCCCTGAAGTAGTGATGGAGGTACGTGGTGTATACAACCCCTGAAGTATTGATGGAGGAACGTGGTGTATACAACCCCTGAAGTAGTGATGGAGGTACGTGGTGTATACAACCCCTGAAGTATTGATGGAGGAACGTGGTGTATACAATCCCTGAAGTACTGATGGGGGAACGTGGTGTATACAACCCCTGAAGTAGTGATGGAGGAACGTGATGTTTACAACCCCTGAAGTTGTGATGGGGGAACGTGGTATGTACAACCCCTGAAGTACTGGTGGGGGAACGTGGTGTATACAACCCCTGAAGTAACGATGGGGGAACGTGATGTTTACAACCCCTGAAGTATTGTGATGGAGGAACGTGGTATGTACAACCCCTGAAGTATTGATGGAGGAACGTGGTGTATACAACCCCTGAAGTATTGAGAGGGGAACGTGGTGTATAGAACCCCTGAAGTATTGATAGGGGAACGTGGTGTATACAACCCCTGAAGTATTGATAGGGGAACGTGGTGTTTACAACCCCTGAAGTACTGATGGAGGAACGTGATGTATACAACCCCTGAAGTAACGATGGAGGAACATGATGTTTACAACCCCTGAAGTTGTGATGGGGGAACGTGGTATGTACAACCCCTGAAGTACTGATGGAGGAACGTGGTGTATACAACCCCTGAAGTATTGATAGGGGAACGTGGTGTATACAACCCCTGAAGTATTGATAGGGGAACGTGGTGTATACAACCCATGAAGTACTGATGGAGGAACGTGGTGTATACAACCCCTGAAGTATTGATGGAGGAACGTGGTATGTACAACCCCTGAAGTACTGATGGAGGAACGTGGTGTATACAACCCCTGATGTACTGATGGAGGAACGTGATGTATACAACCCATGAAGTACTGATGGAGGAACGTGATGTATACAACCCCTGAAGTACTGATGGAGGAACGTGGTGTATACAACCCCTGAAGTACTGATGGAGGAACGTGATGTATACAACCCATGAAGTACTGATGGAGGAACTTGGTGTATACAACCCCTGAAGTACTGATGGAGGAACTTGGTGTATACAACCCCTGAAGTAGTGATGGAGGAACGTGGTATGTCGACCCCTGAATTATTGATGGAGGAACGTATATATATATATAATGTAATGTGTAATGTATTTGAAACAATGAAAACTCACCTTCGTTGCTGTTCTATTTGACATGCGTCATTGT